CATCAAAGAGATCACAGCACCGGCCTTTAGAAGGTTCGATCAAAGAAGAGACACCACAGGAGTTCTCAAATGGATATACGAAAACAAAAAAGCAGTCCTAGCGAAAATCAACATCAGCACTGAGCTCGCAATCGAAGATAGGAAGTATCAGAGTAAAAAGAGATGGAAAGAATTGATTCCGAAAGAATGTTATCAATTCACGAATCTATTCCAAGAAGAGAAAGCTAATGGGCTACTACCCAGGAGACTAGGGATAGACCATGAGATTCAGCTGGACAAGGACCAAAAAACGGAAAAACCAAAGGAAATTCCCTACAAGAAGCTATATCTCCTAAGAGAGGCAGAACTCGAGGAACTCGCAAAGTATGTCAAACAAAACCTGAAATTGGGGATGGATCAGAGACTCCTGTATATCAGGAAGATCTCCTATATTATTTGTTAAAAAGAAGGGTAGAAAAATAAGACTGTATGTCGACTACAGAGCTCTCAATTCGGTTACCAAGAAAGATCGGTACCCACTATCCTTGATTGGAGAAGCATTAGACAGATTAGGATCGGCCAAATACTTTACCAAATTAGATATCAAGGATACATACTACAACATACGGATCAAAGCAGGAGACGAAGGGAAAACTACATTCGCCTCAAGATATGGAATGTTTGAAAACCTGGTTATGCCTTTTGGGTTAACTAATACACCAGCTTCATTCTAACGATTGATTAACAAGGTACTAAACAAGTACCTTGACAGATGCAATATATCATATACCTGGATGACATACTCATCTATTCAGAGGATATGCAAAAACATCAGAAGGATGTCAGCAACATCATAATTGCAATACAGGGATCAGAAATGAAGATCAAACCAACAAAATTCAAATTCTATAAGGAAGAAACCGAATACCTTGGGTTCAACATCAACAGAAGTGGAGTCAAGGTCGATCTATTCAAAAATGGCAGTAATATGGGATTGGGCAAAACCCAACAACAAAACCGATGTTCCATGCTTTATGGGATTTTGCAACTTTTATCGAAGGTTCATAGAAGGGTTTAGCAGACTTGCAAAACTACTCTAAAAAAAATAGCCAAGAAAGACAAGAAATGAGAATGAGGAGAAATAGAACAAAAAGTATATGATGAAATCAGGACACATCTGATATCAGTATTGATACTGGACCAATTCGACCCAAATCAAAGGACGATGATCGAAACAGATGCCTTGAAGTATGTATCCTCAAGTATACTGTCACAATAATGCGAAGATAGAAAATAGAGGCCAGTATATTATCAGTCTAAGATAATGACCTCCGTGGAATGCAACTACAATGTTGCAAACAAAGAACTATTAACAATAGTTCAGGCATTAATGGAGTAGAGGAGATACGTCCTGAATGATGATGAGCCAGTAAGAGTTCTCACTGATTATAAAAATTTGGTCTGGTTCATAACCACGAAGGAATTGAATGACCATCAGATAAGATGGATAGAACAACTCAGTAAATACAACTTCAAGATTGAATATAGACCAGGAAAAAAAGCGAAAAGCCGAATGCTCATACAAAGATCGCAAGCGACAGACTACAAATAAAAGAAGATGAAAGGATTAAACAGAAAACACGACCACTGTTACTAAAAGCCTATGTTCAGGTAATAGAAGTTATTGAATTCACATCCGCGGAAGAATAAAGAATCAGGAAGGCAAATGAAGAAGACAAAACAATTCGGGCAATAAGGGAAGCCATAAAGGAAGGAAAAAAGGAGATAAAAGGAATTGCTCTAGGCTTTTGCCAATGAGAAGATGGAAACATGTAGTATGTTGGAAAACAGTGGATTCTGGAAGAAGAAAAGATAAGAACAAGTATCATATGACAATAGCATGATATCCCAATAGCAGGATATGGAGGTACAACTAAAACAATAGAAATTATCACAAGGTCATTCTATTGGCCAGGATTGCGCGAAGATATTAAAAGATATATCAAAAGTTGTGACATATGCCATAGGAGAAAAACAACTAAACATGGACCTTACGGATTACTGAAATCAAACAAAGTTCCTGAACAACCCTGGGAAACAATTACTATGGATTTCATCATGGACCTTCTACCATCAGAACAATACAATAGCATACTGGTTGTAGTGGATCGCCTGACCAAAATGAGTCATTTTATTCCAGTCAGAAAAAATATGGATATGAGGGATTTTATACAAACCTTCTTCCTAGAGGTTTTCAGACTGCATGGCCTTCCGAAGAATATCATTATGGATCGAGAAACATTGTTCACATCAGGATTGTGGAAAAAAGTAAACAGAGATGTTAGGATACAAAATTGGCTGAGCACTGCGTTTTATCCACAAATAGATGGACAGACAGAATAGGTAAATGGAATCCTCGAACAATATTTACGGGCCTACATCAATTATCAACAAGATGATTGGTATAAGCTGTTATCAATGGTGGAATTTGCATACAATAACAGAAAACAGAAAACAATTGGCACAACACCCTTCTTTGCGAATTATGGATAGCATCCACAAAGTCAGGCCACATATCATACAATTAATGGCATAATACCGGATAAAATAGGCATGGGAAAACTACATGAGACAGTACAATACGAAATGAGTCAAGCACAACAACGGCAAAAAGAACAATATGATAAGTACCACAGACTGGATCCGAACATACAATCGGGAGATATTGTATGAGTACTATCACGCAATATCCATATGACATGACTATCAAAGGAATTAGACTACACGAAAATCAGACCATTCCGGATACTAGAATGAGTGGGCAACCGATCTTATAAGCTCAATCTTCCCCCCTCAATGTGAATACACAATACATTTCACATGTTCCTCCTCGAATTACACAATGATAATAAGTTTCCCTTACAAACAATTATTACTCTTCCTCTGATCAAACTCGATGGAGAACCAGAATACAAACTAGATGAGATAATCAATTCCCGCTTCTTCCACAGCAACCTCCAATACCCAGCCAATTGGACTGGTTATTTACTCAAATACGATAAAACTTGATATTACGCATACAATTTCGAAAACACATAAGATGCCCTCACAACCTTCCACTAACGATATCCAGGCAAGCCTGGTCCAGGTGACGATCAAGTTCAACCAAGATAAAGGCAAGAGAAAGCCTCCTGCGACATTACAAATACACAAAGGCTGGGGCGATAGCCTCTACTATACCATACTAACCTGCTTTGAATACTCATTCATAGAGCCGACCGATGAAGAACTCAAGTAAAGTGAAAAACAAGCACAGGAAAATGCCAGGTCACGGACGGTATGCTACGATGACGGATGCCAAACATACTTTGACAACAAAGAAGGCTTGGGATGGTTCTCGAGAGAATACAGAAAAAAGAGTCCATGCCCGAACTTTACCCTGAAGTCCTAACAAAAGTGCTTCAGAAGGAAGTGCAGGATGCACAGGGCAAAGAAGATCTCCGTGGAATACTACCTGCAAAAGGACGGAAGCCGGAAGAAGTTGGAAAGGGAGGATGAGAAGAAGGTTTAGGCTATGAGGACATGATCCAGGGAGGGAGGAGCTCAAAACTCAGCTGCGTATATGGAACCGGATGTCAGGAGCCTAAATAGGCAAATCCGAGGACTCTGAGAACAACTTGGCTAGGCTGAGGCCACAATTTTGGCAAACGACAAAATGATAGCGGAGCTAAGACAGCTGAATAATAACCAGCGGCACATGATAGAAATCGTGAACCTGACCTTAGAATCAGTAAGGGTTAAATGGCGGACAGCAGATGAAAAGTTCTACAAGCTGAGAAGGACCATGCGCTTGGCTGGACAGGAACTATTGAAACTGGGAGAAAAAGCCGAATGGGACTCAGGCTTAGTGGGAGGGGAACTAATTTCATGAATGTGGCTTGGCACGGAAAAGGTTTTCACATGACACATAATTATGAGTTATGTATGTTATAGTTTCACACATATGACTCATTTGAGTTATATGAGTTGTCATGATTTGTTAAGTTTCACACATGACTCAAGTATGAGTCATGGGATGTGCGCCTGGTGAGTATGCCTTGCAAGTGTGCCTTGCGGGTATGCCTTGTGTATATGATTTATGTTTAGCACATGATCTCGTTATGAGGTTATAGGTTTTACACATATGACTCATTTGAGTTATATGATTTGTTTATTGCATTATGATTGGTGTAAGAGTTTTTGCACATGACCTCGCTACATGGTCATGGGTTTTGAACATGTGACCACTTTGGTCATATGACTAGTTTGTTATGATTTGGTTTCACGCATGTGACCACTTTGGATCACATGACTACAGGCTAGAAGAACACTCTATAAGGAGGCTGGTATGGCCGAGGAGAATATGTTCTTCACTCTTTGCTCTAAGTACTTTTCCTATTTATTACTTTAATGAATATAAAACATCTTTATGATCTTTATCATCATTGCAATCTTTATTATTACACTAAGAAAAGATCTTAATAGAGAAGAGTTAGAGAAAGCTTATGATAGGCATTCCCGATAGAAGACAAAGGTCTTGTACTATCGATCACATAGGCAGAGGCCTAGTGCTGTTGTAAGACTAAGGAAAGATGAAGGGGAAGAAGAGAAGTATCGTTCCCTATTGCCAAGAGCTAACTATCCAAAGAGGTATTGTTACAAACACATACTACAGTTGACTTCCACCTTGTAGCAATATAATTAGTTTTGTTTTATATCTTTAATATTTTAATATTCTAGAATATTATTACTAATACCACATAAAATTCATATTCTATTATCACAGGATTTGAGAGTATTTACAGTTTATTTAATAGTTCATAGATGTACAAGTATTATGTGATACACATGGGTGACCACTGGTGCTTATATAATACCGGGTACGACCCCTGGAGGATCATACCAGTAGTCTACCGGTAATGTTTCCATAAAATCTAGAATAACGCCAAGATGTCAATAATCCTCCCCCCATTGGATTAATGGGAGAAAACACAGCGAAAAAGATTCCTTTTCAGCCCTCAATTGAGACATGTAAAAGGGAAAATACAGCAGACCTTAACCTTACTAAGAGGGCAACTCCGACGTCCTGGCGAGATTGGCACTCTGGGGGTTGCAGCAGGTAGGTTAGGACCACACAATACGGGCCCATAAGGCATTGCAATTGTACCGGTTTGATGTGATAATATCCACCAGCGGGTCCCATCGAAACACCAATACCGGTATCGCATTCTCAAATCTATGTCGCTGGATAATCGGATAAGGCGGTCAAGGGCAATCAAACTGTATTTCTGCGTGCTGGTAAGTTTTACTGCCTTCCATCACTGTTTAGTTGCGCTTGGTCTCCAAGATAGAGGAACGGACAATAGTGTTTACTTATTGAATAGCCACCTCTCGGTTCAGATTACCACTGTGGCGCGGCCGTTGGTTCTAAACCATCGCTCACAAATTCTATATTCTCAAGATCCGCTGGAGAGAAACATTCCACTCGCCTCCTGGGTTAGTCGACTGGGGTGTATGGCATCATACTTGAGAGTGATACGGCTGGTTCTTGGCACTCCACATTCAAGGTCTCTCCGGTGGAGGAGAAAAAAAGGGCCCCAGCATCTCGGTCTGTCACTCACAACCCCGATGGTCCCTTAACGAGATCACCCTCAAATGTCACAGTGCCTCCCTTGCCGCATCTGTCCGCACAACAGAAAGCCCATACGAATTCCTTCATTTCTTGCACCTGCCGCGCCAATTGACAAGGCTACAACTGTTATTCCCAGACGGCATTTCTCAGCTCGGGGTAAACGTGACCTCCAATAATTATTATTAACGTTCGGTTCGGACTAATTGGGGATTACACTTGCTAACTCGTGACTTCTAGAATCCGCCATCTTCGTTCCCCCGTCCGGCCGAGCAAATTGTTTTTTGAGGGCGAATTCACGGAAACAGCACCGACCACGGATCGACGCTGGACCGGGTCTACGGGGATTCGGCATTGGGCTGTTCAGGCGGAACAGTTCGGAGACGGATAAACTGAAGGAATTAAAGTCTTGGAGCAGCGGGCAAGCGGACCAAAGACTTCGATGGCGTCTTATGTCTTCGATATCCCGGCTCCTCCACAACCACAGCCAGGAGCAACCGCAGAAGTTTCTGAGACTTGCCGCTGCCGAAGGAAGGGGCGTAGAGGCGATAGAGAGGGTGTGGGGAAAGCTGTCGCAGGGTGACCAACTCAACTTTTTCACCAGTATTGGGACCTTCCTTGAGGAGCACTCGTACTGGAACATGTTGCATAGACTTATGCAGTGGTATTGCACGGGGACTCGTCCGCCTGGGGATCAATTTAAGATTTGTGATTACTTCAATGCTATTGTTGCAGCCAAGATACCCACGCAGAGGGCGGGGGAAGACATGGTGGTATCCCGGGATGAACGCAGGAGGAGGGCAGATAGGCTTATTACCATGCTGCGCTGCATAATTTGCGGGAGTAATTTTAAAGGCAGGTCTTATATTGCGCAAAGGGTCCTGCACAAGCTTATCGTCAATGCCTCCCTCGACGCGCTTGTGGGGCTTTATGGAGAGTTGCGGAAGGCGCAGCACCTGGTAGGCAGATACACGACTCTGCACTTTATCAGTCGCCTATCCGATCTTCAAACTTGGGACGAGGCCTTTTCGATTCTGAAAACCTTTGAGCTCGGCGAAGGTTTGGATCTGATGGCTGCGAAGGCCTGGCATGTTTTCTTAAAGATGTTCTACCAGGCAACGTACATTGGCCGAGAGGAGTCCAACGGGGTCATTCGGAAGATGCTGGCATGTAATATCGTCCCCACCACCGAGACGTACAATATCTTAATGAGCAAGGCTGTCCGCGAGGGTAATGAAGATACATTGAAGGAAGCGTTCCAGGAGATGCTCCAGGCCGGCCTCAGTCCTACCATGGTCACATATGGAATATTGCACAAGCATTACAAGTTGGTCGGGAAGCGGGAGGAGCAGGTTATGGTCATCCGAGACGCAATGATGTTGGACAAGAGACTGAACGTGATACTGGCCTCCGACATCCTACACGCCAAGGTTCTTGCCAGCTCTTCCTACATGGAAGTCTACACGCAGTTCACCAGGTTGTTCAGGCCGGGTGCATTAGCGGCGCTTGGCCTCACTTCCGCAACGAGGTACCCGGTGCTAGAGAAACTGGGGCCGGACCACTACACAATAGCCATCATGATGCATGCCTTCTGTCGGGAGGATAGGGGCCTACGGGTAGCATGGAGGATGTACCGCGAGTACCAGAGAGTGCTGAGAGAGATCACAAACCCTTATAGAGCGGTGCTCGTTAAAGCTGGCAGTTTCATCCCGAATTCTTTCATGATGGCACTCGGAGCCCATCAAGCGGGGTTACACTATGCCGCCAGAGTGATGGAGGAGATGCTGCAAGAGCGATCTCCAATCAAACCGGGGGTAGTCTCGTGGTCGATACTGCTACAGATCTTGGTGAAGCGGGGGGATATGGCCGAAGCGGAGCGGGTCATTGACCTGATGAGGTCCAAGGGGGTGCAGCCGAACGCGGTCACCTGGACCACGCTGCTGAATGGGTACATGACTAGGCATAATCTCCACAAGACGGGCCAGATAATTGCGCGGATGTCGCAGATGTATTTGCAACCGGATCGGGCTACGATCGATAAGCTGACGGCGTACCTGAATTCCCAGGAGTTGCTTGGTGGGATAAGGTCTATCGAGAAGCCAGAAGAGACACAGCAGGAGGGATGAGGGGATTAGATTTGTAGATTTTTTTTTGTATTGTATTGTATTGGGCTATACACTTGTATAGTGACTGCTCTTATAGACCAGATTCTCAATCTTTCATGCTTTCCTCGCATCCCTACACTCATACTTTCTTGTACATCCGTTTATCCACGAATATATAGTAATACCAGAATATCATACAACACTTGCAGTATACGATGCATCTAGATCAATCACACTACACAGGCTGTACAGTGCAAGCAGGCTACCGCGTCTCGGGGGAACCACAACAAAACCACTACTTGGCCAGCCGCCGAACACACCTCCCCCTAACCCCCTCCAGCTCCCTCCTCTCACTGGCATGCAAAACCCCCTCTGCAGCCTTCAACCCCCTCTCCGCGAGCGCCAACGCAGTTTGGTACTCCCTAGCATAATACCTCTCCTCCGCCGCAGCCTTAATCTCCAACGCTAACTCTTTACTCTCGGGTGGCAGTCTATCGACTCGGTAATTTAGTCTCCGTGCTGCCTTGCACCCACCCCACCCCATTAGTCCACCACTCGGCCATTCTACAAGTATGGGTAATCATTGGGAGGGGGGGGAGGGGAGTACTTGTTTGGTCTGGCAAATGGGCTTCCAGGAGCTCTTTTGTGCCTGGAATGAAGACTCGGTCTGGTGCAGTTTTGCCTGGCGGGCGGATCTGGCGGAGGTTTCGTCGTCGTCATCGGAGAAGGTGAGGTCTGGGAGGCCGTCCATTTTCCGGTAGATACCGTTTGAAGTACGGTGGAAGGTACCGGTATTAGTGGGCAGTGGGGTGGTGCAGGGTTTTAGTGGCGGGGTAGGAGACGGAAGTAGGAGTGGATGGAGAGTTCTTCAGTTAAAGACCGCGGGCAGGGCCATTGGCTGCGCGGCTTGGGGTCGGTTGAACCTGCACAAAATTCCGTCTGTGGGGACCGTGTTAATTGTACTAGTATGATATTTCCGATATTATTTCCGTAAGGAGATACTAGTTTAGCTAGCGCAGAGGCTATTATGTTTTGAAAAATCAGGTTGTATATAGAATCTTTAAACTATCCATAATATTTATGGAAGTATTATCGATTTCGAAAGGGTCGACAGTAGTCGTCCGTGCGCACTGTCATGTTTTTTTCCACCCACATGCCAAGGGCACTGAAGCCCCGTGCCCAAGGGCTGCCGCCTGAGTGACTGGGTTCAATTCTTGATATCATAGCAGAAATGCTCCTACGGTAGTCCTCAATTTTCCTGACTTCTGTACTCAATTCTCTTCTTATTATGGTTCGTGCCATTCAAAACCCGTACCAGAAGTTCCACAAATTTTAAACCGACAAGCCTTCACAATAAGTATTATTATGTGAAAAGAAAAACCTCAGAGTTGAAGAGAAAGACATAGAGAGTAACTAGAAGTTTTTTTTAATTTTTTTTATACTTAGTTAAAGAGCCTTGTAAATTCGAAAAGTTGTACTGTTAGTGAGAAAGAGAAAAAGTTGTTACATCAGCCACAGTTTAAACACTTAGTAATCAGATATTTATTATTCAGGAAATAGGGTTTTGGCTTAAATAGATTACATTATGCACTAAAAAGAACAAAATGACCCACAACCTACAAGTGACACTGTAAACCCTAAAGATACTATTAGGAGTACTGGGATCCAATACCTAGAAACCACACTGAGCAGGGTATCCCAACTTGGAATTGGAATCTTATGTCTCCAACACCTCCTTCAAGCGACCTTATGGGTCCTCATGGTATCATATATATCTATCTTAGTTGCGTCCTATGACTATAATGCCACAGAATTAAAGGTGTCAGGAGAACACGGCATGCATGGCTACCATCAATCCAACCAGATCCTATATGCAGGATATCTGAGAGGAGACCATCTGCAAGGTCTGGGAAGTAGAACGGAGTAAATCTGTCAACTACTCAGAGAGTTACTAGGCTTCAACAATAGAACATCTTTGATATAAGCTGTAGGTAACGGGACATTTCACACAAAGAAATAATATTGAATGGTAGGGAATCTCTACGAAGAGTCAACATATTGTCATCTACTCTGCGATAATTAGTGCAGTCTAAAACTCTTAGGGTCACTGTCAAAGAAGCCAATAAACTTCATAGAGGGTTACAACTATGTCTAGGAATGTGTTGTAGTTGCAGGAATTTTCACCAATATCAAACAACAACTAAAAGGCTATTATCAAGGACTGTTAGGCGGAGACAATCTGATAGACTTCGATTTGTCTGGGCCAACCAAGATTCATTTCTGTAGACGGATATTGTCTAGGAAGGCTCGAATTCATTTGTTTCGTTTATGACTACTAAGAGCGAAGTAAATTTGGTAAAGTAAGATAGAATTGTAAAAACAATATTCTATTGTTAAGATATCTTCTCTATTACTTGATGATGTCTAAAGCTTAGAAGATACTTCGATATTTATATTCTATGTCTGAGTCTTCATGGACTACAGCTATTTATTATACAACTATGTACTTCTCTGATTATTACTCGTAATATTGAGTATTCTTAAAAGATGCGAACACCTGGAGACGCTGAAAATCACCACATCGTCTTTGGCAATTACAATATAACTAACTTAGAACGATACTGTTTCCAATAGTAGTTATCTGATCATTGGAGTCTTTAGACTTGTGGCCTAGTTTTTAAGTTGAACTGAGCTAGCCCCAATTGTCTCCATTATTGATGAAATGATTAACTTCATCTGCGGGTTGCATTTGCGAAGGTAGTTGCAATCGCAACCTTTTTAGGTCGCCAAACTTTAAATCTTCATAACTCCTTACTCAACTAATAGGTATCTTCCAGAGGACTTTCTACTAATTCACATAAAGCTATTCCACCAGATTGACAAATACTTCATTGGTCGGCAACTCTTAGTTGCTCTGGGTAACAGGGTTTCAATTACTGTTGTAGTATTGGAAGTTATTCCCATAACTACAATGTATTCCAAAACCTAGTTATAATACTCCATGAAGTCTACTGGCTTTTATGGTAGTATTTCTTGGGATTCTAGACTCTTTTGGATATTGTAGCATGGATGTGAATGGATAGGTTTCTTATTGAGATTCTTTACCATTCAATACCATCTCTTCGTACAAAAACGTCCTGTCACTTACGGCTCATACCAAAGAAATTACATCTTTAAGATCCTGTAACCCTCTGAGTAGTTGACGGATTTACTCTGTTCCACTTCTCAGACCTAGCTGAAGATCCCCTCTCATGTGTCTCGTGAACAGGATCTGGTCGGAGAGATAGCGGCGATGTATATCGTATTATCCTTACCCTTTTAATTCTGTAGTATGAGAGTCACAGGATGTAAATGAGATTGATATGTATAATAACGTGCAGGCCCCGTAAGGGGGCTGGAGTGGGGTGTTGGAGATCAGGGATTCCAATTCTGGATGAGGTTACCCTATTTAGGGTAACTCCTAGGTATTAGATTCCAGTATCTCTAACATGAGTGCCCACCTCTTAAGACTTCGTCCCGAATGTCTTTTGGGTACATATAAAATAAATTAAAAATTAAAAATTAAAATAAAACATTAAATCATTACAACCTCAAACATTAGCTCCTTTAGGACCCAATGAGAGCAGGGTGAAAAAACTTCCACGTTTGCTTAGCCACGGCAGAAAAACCTTTTCTTCATCGTTCTTCCACTACCCTCAATGATATTTCCAGATTATCAATGTAGAACTCTTCCACCATTTCCCTTGCATTATCCATACCTGTAGCAGGTTCCCAGGTGTTCTTGTCTTTGGAACAACCTTGCCATTTAACAAAGTACCATAGTTGGCGTACCTCCTCATAGCGACTGCATACTCTCTTTTGACATGAATGTATTTCGCTTCTCATGATTTTCTCTAGTTTCTATTGTAAGTCACCCTCAATATCCTCAGGCTCTCTAAGAGGTTGTTGTTGGTCCACCTATGCTGACTCCCTGTAAGTCTTCAATAGAGATACATGGAACACTGGATGTATGTTTTATCGATATGAAATGTTAAGCTTACAGGCATGATTTCCTCATTTCTCCAAGGTCATGAATGGTCCATATAATTCTGGACTGAATTTCTTTGACTTCTGATATGTACGAATGTTCTTTGTGTTTAATATTACCTCCTTGCCAATTTTGAAGTTTGGTTGTTGCTTGGTCTTGCTATCATAGTACTTGGCCATCGCTTCTCATGGCTGATAGAGTGACGGCCTTGCTTGCTCCTAGATCGTCTTTATCCAGTTTGTATAAAGTATAGCTCCTGGATTTTATGCCTTGTATTCCTTTATCCATTCTGTTTGTCCATAAAATCTATAGTTTGTGTAGAAAGGGGTTATTCTATGTGCATTGGTTGCTGAGTTACGGTAGGCATGTTTGGCTAGAGGTAGCACTTAGTACCAGTCATCTTGATCGTAGTTGACGAAACTTCACCAGTAACCTTCTAGCACTTAGTTGATTAGCTCAGTTTGTCCATCCGTCTGTGAGTGGTACCCTGTAGACATCATTCTTTTTATGCTTAATATTTTGTACCAGGATTCCCAAAATTCTCCAGCAAACTTCGAGTCCATATCTGAGACAATTTTAGTTAGTAAGCCATGTAGCTTTCATATTTCCTTTATAAAGGCTGTAGCTACATCCTTTACAGTGGCTGTCCCTCCTAATCCAATGAAGTAGGCCATTTTTGTGAACCAGTTAACTACTACCATAATTTGGGTGCAAACTTGACTTTGGGGTAACTGCATAATAAAGTCAATAGAAATTGATGCCCATGCTGCAGAGGGAATTGACAGCAGTTGTAGTAGACCATATTTTGCGTATCGTGGAGATTTGTGGTATTGACAATCATTGCACCACTATAGGTAATTATTTACCCAATCTGCCAGGTCTTTCTAATAGAAGTCCCTGATAATTATCTCGAGGTTTTTTTCTTGTCCGAAATGTCCTGCTATTTTAGCATCATGATACCCTGCAGCAATTATTGTACAAAGGTCATGGTTTTTTGGTGTAAACAGTCTTTGCTAATAGTAAAGCAACTGGTTAGATAAGGTCCAGTCTTTCAAGAAAGGTTTGTCATTGTCACGTAGTTTTTCCAACTCCCTTTTTCATTTAAGCCATTCTCTATCTCCTGGCATCGCTTTTAAGCTTTACTTCAAGAATTCTGGATTCAATTTCTTCAATTGCTTGCGGGCTAGTATAGTGCTAGTTATGAGGGTTTGCTCAGATATTTCAGTTGCATCATACCAGTGTGTATTCTGGTCTATTGATGCATGTAACCTGCTGACTACTAGTTCTAATTCCCAGATAGTAATAGCTCTTATTACAATGTCTGTGCTGTCGAATCCTGATGCGCCTTTTTTTGTATCTTCTAGGCTGTCTATTTCCATCACGTTAGTAGCGTTAATTTTTTCTACCACCAATTGGGCAATTTGATTGCTGGCTTTGATGAGACAATTCATATCTTAATAGTTAAATAGTAGCACTTGGAGTTCTCTGGTATAATCTGCGTCGATCTTTCCGGTACTGGTAGAGATACCGCTTTTGACCGCTAATCTGCTTCTTAGGGCAATCCTCTTTTGAGTTCTGACCGGTAGCCCTATTGCAATACTGGTCCCAAAAATTAACTGTTCCTGTGCTAGGATTATATCTTCTTGCATAGCATAATAATCATAGCCAGCTGCCATCCTTGAATCTTTGATTAGTAACCTTGCACTTGTATTTAACCATTTTACTCAAATCATGGAGTCTGTGTCATTCCAACTTACTCTTTCCTGTATATCACCTGTGCTTATATTATCTGGTGTACTGC